TTTAAAAATTGCATAAAAAAATTGACCATACCATTACGTACCCAAAAATTAATCATCAAATGAGAGAATCCTCTCCCTATTTGATGATCTTTGTTGACCACGATTTTGTAGTCCATCATAAATTGCAAAACTATAAAAAGAAACCATCGACTAAAAATTAATTACTGCAAGGGTTAACTGGTAAGTCCTGTAGTATTATTGTTCTTTATTGTTTTTGTTTTTATATTTTTTGTTTTGACAAGCAATATTATATGAGGTAATCTAATAAAAGAAACAAAAAATAAAAATATTTTTGGATTACTAGATATAGTACTTGTTGTTAAAAATAAAAAGAAATAAAAATAAAGATAAAAATAAAAATGATGTTATTAATCAAGTTCTCAAAGCTTATTACTTTACTGTATCTTTGAGTTTAAAGAAATTTTATCCCTCCATTCTCCTCCTCCTTATTTCTTTTATTTAGATAAATAAATAAATATCTATTAAGATGAAAATAGTGGATTAGAAATTTGTGTTAGAGAAGCAAATACAAAGCTGAAATAATAAATTATATTGAGGATTCTCAATTTGAATCTGTAAATTTTTCTTGCAACATGAGTTTAAAATTATATACTCTCTTTAGTCAGATTTAATTGTTCCAATTGAGGATTTACTAACTAGATTTTAGTAGGTTTATGTTTTGATTGTAAATATTTATTATGATAATCAATTGTGTGGAAATTTTCCGTGGAGTGGCAAATGGGATCACCAGACTATGGCACTGGTGTCTGGTATCATTGGGTGATATTTGCACACCTAGATGTGATTCATGTGAGAAGGGTTTTGTTAGAAAAAAAAATAGAAAGAAAAATAAAGAAAGTAGTCCTGAGACATGATTTAACTATTTTTAAAAGATCAAAATGTCCCCATAATACAATAGAAGTTAAAAATTTAACTCTTTTTAGAGAAATTATGAAAAGAATGAAATATTCTTATATTTATTTAATCAAGCTTGCATATATATATATAGTGACTATAAGAACATATATCCAAGAGCTATAGCACTTACTGCATGTTTGAATTGAAGGAAATAGAAAAGAAGAGAATTTTATCTCTCCATTCCTCTTCCCTCTATTTCCCTTATTTAGATAAGTTAATAAATTAAGAGAAAAAATAAAGTAAGTAAAATTTTTTCCCTCCCCCTTCTCTTCCCCCTTTTTTTTAATAACTAAATAAAGAAAATTTTACCCTCCCTTTCTTCCATTCTTCTTAATCCAAAATTTCTGTTAACCCAAACATAAAGTTAACCCAAACATAAAATTAGGTTACAACCCGTTAGCAGACATGACATTTCCCAATAAGTAATTGCGCCTATTCATATAAATTAAATATATATAAAGTATTAATTAAAATAAACATTAATTATATTTCATACATTTTTAACGATATTAAAAGAAAAATGCCTTGAATAACACAGAGAATAAATTTTTTTTTTTTTGAACAGCATAACACATAAGAATTAAAGAAAAAAAACATTACCCTTGGCGTTACTGGGACTCTTGACCGAGAGATAAATATGAAGGGCCATACTTCATAACATAATGACTAAAACCTTGATAACAAAATGAATCTTTACTACAAACTGTTGCATTCTAATCCGCAACTGGCTTGAAATTCAAAATTAAACAACTCGCAAGAAGAATCAGAGTTGCAGTAAGTGGGCTTTGGATCTCTCTTATCTTCACAGATCCGACAGATATGTTGAAGAGGATCGTCGTCCTTATTAGGATCTTCATAAGTGAGCTTTAGAGGGTGTTCGTCAAACCTATATCGAGCACTTAGGGGTCATGTCAGACACCTATAGTCTACGAAGAAACTGCAACCCTCTATCGTACATTTGTAAGGACGATTAGTAGATTCACCACAGGCACTACAGAGCCGAAAACTTTAATCATCAAGATCAAGGCATAGCAAATGCCCACTTCCTTCATGTCCTTTATGTTATGGGTAGTCTCAAATGGAGGCTTGTGACATCTACGACAAACATATGTGTCCTTCCCAATCTCGAAGGCAAAACCTTTGCAGAAATAGTTACAAGATGAGAATTTAAATGATCGGAAACAAACTCTGTGGGGGCGGTATTCAGTCCAGTGTTTCTCCTCCTTTTGGATTTGAGCGCAAGTTTTGTGAAGAGAGAAATTACACCAAGGTTGTAAACAATTGTAGGCCGGACTTAATATAAGCAGTGTGCACCCATCACAGCATTTTTCTTCCATAATCTCCTCAGTAAACACTAATTTGTGATTGTGGCTGAAATGCTTTATGTGCTTTCCTAGCACAGTATTAGAGGAAGAAGCCTCGCTCGATTTCCAATCCTCATTTTCTGACTCAATTACAGTATATAAGCCTCCATATGTTGCACAATTCACATGAAAAAAAGTGTAATTGCAACGCAAACCCAAACAGTAGTAACTTCCATACTCTGCCTTGATTTCTTTGTAACAAATTCTACAGATCCTCTTTTCTAATCCTTTTTGTCCACTGAAATAGGTGTTGCGAATTGGATGATCATGCACTGAGATTTTGATGTTTTGTAGAAGGGAAATAAATTTCTCATGGACCATATGAGATTGCAAGAAAGACGTAAATAACGAGCATGACCAGTCTCCTCACCGCATGCATCACAAGCGGGTGACATTCCCTCCAGAATAGGATGAACCGATGCTGGTTGTTTTTATTTTCAATGGTTTGTGGGGGTGAGACATATTGATTATGAATATAAAACTCACGAGAGAAACATACATAGCCAATTTCTTCTGTCCCTAAATAAGAAGCTTTTTGGCGTAAGTTACAGTACTTAATCCCATGATTCCATAGCGATGATGTATTGAATTGAAGAGTAAGAAGGTGTCTACAGTAGTGGTGGGAAGGATGGTTAATCTTAGTAGGTAACTTTGCACCTCTTTTGTGAATGTGAAACCCACACCTAAGACAATTGTATATAAAATCCGATAACTGACTTGAGCAAGCACCACACTCAATTTGTGTGAGTTCATTGCCATGTGAGAAAAAGTAATGTTCTTGTATGTATTTCATGAAGAATTCAAGTACATGTATATATATACACAATGCTAGACAAACTAAGGCAAAAGATCATAACCTAACAGTACAAAATTGAATAAGGAAAAACTAGGAAATAAATGTGCCTAACGGCTAGCTAATAGCTAGTGATTGATTTTGTGCTGTGATTGAGATTCTATGCTAATGAATATCTCCAACACCCCCCTCCTTCAAGTTGGTGCATGTAAATCTTTAACGCCTAACTTGCGGAGAAGAAATTGAAATTGATCACCTCCCAATGCCTTTGTAAATATATTAGCCACTTGTAGGTTGGAGTGAACATGAGAAGTCTTAATAACACCAACTTGAATTCAATGACGAATAAAATGACAATCAAGTTCAATGTGTTTTGTGCGTTCATGAAAGACTAGATTTGTGGCTATGTGAATAGCTGCTTGATTGTCACAATGTAATTGCATTGGTTGAGAAGTATCAACTCCTAATGTCTTGAGCAAGCCTTTGAGCCATAGGAGTTCACTAACAGTGGAAGCCATAGCTCTATATTCAGCTTCAACTGATGATCTTGAGATCGTGGATTGTTTTTTGGTTTTCCACGATATAGGTGAGTTACCAAGCAAAGTGAGGTAGCCAATTGTAGATCTCCTTGTTGTGGGGCAACTAGCACAATCAAAATCACAATAGGCTAAAAGTTGTAAAGAACTTGACGAAGAGAGGAAAATCCCTTGCCCAGGTAAGGATTTTAAGTATCGCAAAACCCGCATTGCTGCATCTAGATGAGGTTGTCGAGGAGCTTGCATAAATTGGCTAAGAGTATGGACAACATATGAAATTTCAAGGCGTGTTATAGTCAAATATATTGGCTTTCCAACTAGTCTCCTGTATTTCATAGGATCAGATAGAGGGGAACCAGTACTAGGAGTGAGTTTAAGCTTCTGCTCCATAGGAAAAGGGCATGGCTTGGTTCCAAGCATTCCAGTTTCAGTAAGGATGTGAAGTGTATATTTTTGTTGACAAAGGAAAATTCTAGAGGGATGCCGAGCCACTTCAATACCTAGGAAGTATTTGAGCTTGCTAAGAACTTTGATGTGAAACATTGTATGGAGAAATTCTTTCAATTTTTGACAAAGAGATGAATTATTACCTACAATAATCAAATCATCAACGTAAACTAGTATGGCGAGGAAATTATTCTGTCGCCGATAAGTGAAAAGTGAATAATCACTCATAGATTGTTGAAAACCAAAAAGTTTTAAAGCTGAAGCAAATTTGGCAAACCAATTTCTTGATGCTTGCTTGAGTCCATATAAGGACTTCCTTAGGCGACTAACATGTTGGTTTCCTTTATTCCTATAGCCTGGAGGTAGTTGCATATAAACTTTTTCATTAAGATCTCCATGGAGAAAGGTATTTTGAACATCCAATTGATGTAACTCCCAATTATGAGCAGTGGTGATAGCTAGTAAGCATCGAACGGTAACTAGCTTAGCAACAGGGGCAAAGGTATCATGGTAATCTATGCCTTCAACTTGGGTGAATCCCTTTGCGACAAGACGTGCCTTATATCTTTCAATTGTCCCATTAGTATTATATTTGATTTTATAGACCCATTTGCAACCTATAGGTCTTTTGGCAGGAGGAAGCATCTCCAAAGTCCAAGTATTATTTTTCTTGAGAGCATCAATTTCGGCTTTCATCGCTTGTCTCCATTTGGGATCTTGGATAGCCTTAGAAAAGGATTTTGGCTCATCTTTAGTGGAGATGGCCGCTAGAAAAGAGCGGTGAGTAAGACTAAATTTATCATATGCAATAAAATGAGAAATAGAATACGGCATACCTGAGGTCGAAGAAGTGTTGGTATTTGTTTGAACTCCATTTAAGATGTAGTCTGTGAGGTAGGTTAGTTTCCTTCTCTCGCGTTATGGCCTTGAATTAGAATTAATGGGATTGCCCACATTACCATGGCTTGCATTAGAAGTTCTAGCAATTGATGGGTTTGCATCTCCCTCTCCGTGTGCGACATTGAAAGCATCAACGCTTGAGTTAGCACTATCAAAATTGCTTGGGCAAGCTTGTTTGGGCTGCATGATGGTAGGTTGATCAACCTTTGGTGGGTCTTGTTGCATGTAGCTAGGATTTGCAGATTTGTTTCCCTGATTTCTAAATTCAATGGCTAATGCATCATCATCATCAAAATATTGTAAAGGCATGAATTTTCTTAATTCATCATGGCGAATTGAATTAGTGTCCTGAGAAATGGGAAAATGTTTTCATAGAAAATAACATCACGAGAAACAAAATATTTGTTTAGTTTCAAGATAAAAAATACGATATCCTTTCTTACCATGAAGGTATCCAATAAATATACATTTTTTCGATCGAGGAGAAACTTACTTGTAGGCAAGGAGTGATCTTTTGCATAACATAAGCAACCAAAAACTTTTAGGTGGTTATATGAAGGTGCCTTACCAAAGAGAAGTTCATGTGGAGCTTTACCATCAAGTAATGGTGTGAGTGTATAATTGATAAGATAGGTAGTTGTGAGAACACATTCTCCCCAAAAGGAAATAGGTAAGTTGGCTTGAAATTGCAAAGCTCAAGCAACATTTAGAATATGCCTATGCTTTCTTTCCACCACTTCGTTTTGTTGGGGTGTATTCACAGATGAGGTTTGATGCAAAATCCCATTTTTATAAAAGAAGGCTTGCATAGAGTTAGAGAAAAATTATTGTCCATTGTCGGATCTTATTTGCTTTACCTGCAAACCAAACTGAGTCTTAACCATATTAAGAAACATAGTCAGAAATTGACAAGTTTCTGATTTGTATTTCATAAGAAATACCCAAGTAGCACGAGTGTAATCATCAACAATAGTAAGAAAGTAATGTGCTCCAGAATAAGAGGACGTTTGATACCTTCCCCAAATATCACAATGTATTAAAAGAAAGGGTGATTCAACTCTCTTTCTTTGAAGAGGAAAAGTATTTCTTGTTTGTTTTGCCCGATGACAAGGATCACAACATCTAGGAAAAGACTTGGGGTCAAAAGAAATATTTTTAGATAATAATGAAAGAAGATGGTGGAGTATGAAAGAAGGTGATGTCGTGGTTGAGATCTTGTCCGATAGATGCCATAAAATCTACTGTTGAGTTTCCTTCCCTCAGTGTGTGTTGAACTGTGCAAACCTCAAAGGAGTTCACCAAATGGAAAATGTCCAACAATAGCATCGAAGTTTGGCCATCTCTGGCCTTTCTTGCCTGTATCATATGTATAGCCGAGAGAGAGTCCATTTCAAGAACCAAGTGAGTAATACCCAGCTCGAGAGCTAGCTGAAGGCCAGTCTGGCATCCCTAAAGCTCTGCCATGTAGCTAGTTTGTGGCCCAATGTTAATAGTAAAACCATGAATCCATTGACCTCCATGATCCCGAATGAGTCCACCTGCACTAGCTCTTCCTGAGGAATGGTTTAGTGCCCCATCCGTATTCAGCTTGAGAAAAGGGAAATCAGGTGGGAACCACCTTATCCATCGTGGTAAATGAGGGTGAGTTAGAATATTGGATGCCAGCGCCAAACATGTATCTCTTGCTAGGGAGCAAGCTTACTGGAACAGAACATGTGGAGGTGTCCTTTTATTGTTGAAGATGAGTGCATTCCTACTTTTCCAGATCACCTAAATAGCAGATAAGATGAGGTAGACCAATTAGAAGAAGGAGCACTACTAGACATTGAAGCTTGTGCATTCTTCCTTAACCATTCTTCAAAATTTAGCATGAAAAAATCAATAGGAAGCACAGTGAAGGTATCCCAAATCAAACGAGAGTGATAGCAATCATGTAAAAGGTGAAGAGGAGTCTCTAGGCCCTGTTCGCATCTCGGGCACACAAGAGTTGCTGCAAAATGTCTCCAAAATCTTACATTGTTTGTGAGCACTCTATTTTTCTAGAGGAGCCAAACAAACAACTTGATTCTCTCTATACACTATAACTTCCATATCCACCTCCAATTTTCCTCGCGCTGAATTGGGTTAACATGCTGTGGCTACAACAAACAAAATGCAAATTTAATAGTGAAGGTACCATCCAACGAGCCATTCTAGAAAACTTTATCTGTTTGCTATCCAAACACTAGGATTGGAGTTGCCAAAATCTAATCAACTACATTTGGAGGAAGAAGATTTCCAAGCCAAGTCTCGTTCCAGTCTCCAGACGAGGTTATGGCCTGCGAGACAGGGGTGTCCATAAATTAGGTGGAACAGGGGAAAGAGCCATCTCACACAAAGGCTTATCACTCACCCAAATGTCCTTCCTAAATTTAATTTGTTGGCCATCCCCAACTCTCCATCACAATCCTAATTGCAAAATGCCTCTACACTTCAATATACTCTTCCATGTAGCTGAAGCTGTAGCAGAGGTGGGGTAATGCATCAAAGACCCACTTTTTAGGTACTTTGCCAAGAGAGCTCTACACCAAGGTTTATTTGGATTAGAGATTAACTGCCAACCCAGTTTTGTGACCAAGGCTTGGTTATTTTCCTTGGCTGAGCACAAACCCAACTCGCCGAGATCTTGTGACCAGCACACCATTTCCCAACTGACAAGGTGTGGTTTATTAGCAACATTAAAGCCCCAGAGAAACTTCCTATTCATACCATCAATGGCTATACAAATACCTTTTGGTAACAGAATGGACTACATTGTATATGAGGGGATTGTAGAAGTTATAGCCTGGACTAGAACCTTTCTCCCAGCCATGCTTAACAAATTTTGTTTCCAGCCAGCCAATTTAACTTGAATTTTTTCCAAAATATGCTTGTAGGTAGAGATTAAAGCTCGCCCATGCAAGATTGGAACTCCCAAGTAGCTTCCTAAGTCCCTTGTTAAAGGGATACCACAAACTTCACTTAAAGCTCTAGCCACATGCCATTGTATATTTGGGGAAACATATAATTTGGACTTATTTAAGTTGATCTCCAGCCTTGATTCCTTTGAGAATTCAACAAGACAATCCATGACTACCTAAACTTGCTGAGATGAAGCTTCGCAAAAAAGCATGAGGTCATCTGCAAAAAACAGATGTGATAGAGCAAGCCCCCTTTTAGCAATTAGTTGCTGGAGAAAAGGCCGTAGTCTATTCACAAGTACTTTGGAGAGCACTTTGTAGGCAACATTGAGCAAACAAATTGGACGAAATTTTTGAATGATGTTAGGGTTGTCTCCTTTTGGGATTAAGACAATATGCGCTTGTAATAATGAAAGCTCAAAATAACCATCACTCAGTGCACCATTAATGAAAGACAACAGGGTATCTGAAACTTCCTCCCAATGCTTTTGGTAGAAAATTGGTTGAATTCCATCTGGTCCTGGGCTCTTTAAACCTTTCATAGAGAATAAGGTGCCTTTTACTTCCTCCAATGACAACAACCTTAACAGGGACTCACCATCCTCATTTGTTAGCCGCAGTTGATAAATAGAGCTACCGCTACTAGCGGGTTGAATATCTTTTTGAGAAAACAACTCTATAAAAAAAAACCCATTTATGTGTGATTTTAACACAAAAGGCTCCCTTACCCAGTTACCATCAATCTTCAGAGCTAAGATTTGATTTTGACTCTGTCGAACTACTGTGGATGCATGGTAGAAAGTCGTGTTTCTATCGCCAGAAGCCATCCACTCTACTCATGATTTTTGGCACCAGAATAGCTCCTTTGCATGCAAAACCTGGTGATACTCATTCATTTTCTTGTGATAACGAATGTTTTATATCAAAACTTAAAAGACACAATGTTTTAGCATTAATATCTCAATGCATTTTAACTTGCCATTATTCTACATTTTTTACTTTTCTTGTGATCCAATCTTTTAGCTTACATTTATTAGACATTTTAGCATTTTTAATACCAGGACATCCTAATTTTTTCTTTTCCCTTTTAAAAATAGTATAGTATAAAAAATTAATACAAATGAGTGGATGCATATAATATTATGAGTGGATCCCTACATGAAAATAGTTAATTATATGATAACGAATCATGTTGTGAGTTTATAATATCACGTGGCATTATAACTATAGCAATTTATAAGAATTTTAATTCTTTTGTAGTTTTTGGGTCGTAATGTATTTTGGGATATCAGCAAAATTTAATTAGTATTAATTGATATAAGTTTCAAATTAGATTTAAGTAAGAATTTTCAATTTTGTTTATCTTGTAAATAAAACAATAATTTTAATTTTAATTTATCTAGTTTTTAGTTTTGGCTAACAATGAAAAATAAATAGATAATCACTATTTTAATTTAAAAGAATAAAATATTAAAATCCTCAAATAAGATCAAATGTTAAAATTAAATTTAAGAAAGAAAAAACGGGCTGATAAAGAAAAGAATTATCTAAACATCAATAAAAATTTAATTCTCTTTTAGTTTTTGAGACTTAATGCATTTTGGGCTTTAATGGCAGCAAAATTTAGTAAGTAACATTGATACAAGGAAAACTGAAAAACTAGTAATTAGTATGGAGCGGAAGATGAAAACTAGGAAAGCTCTTAAGTGGGTGTTTTTTGTTTGTGTGGGTGAAAAGGTAAATTAAATTAAAGGCAGGCGTTATG